ACGCTTATGGGATGCTAGAAAATGCCAGGGATTGAAGCAGGCTCCACTTAGTGCTCAGTCGCCTCCTTGCTTTTGAACACTTCAGAGAAGTCTTGTGCCGCAGGTTTTCCCAGTGCGATGTGTCCTTTGATCTCTTGACTGCTGCTTCCATGAGCATTGAGTATGGATCCGAGAAGGCAAAATCTTTGACAACTTCCATCTTTTCTCCATGTATCATGATGTGACCTATGGGTCCAGTTGGGAGGATTTGGGCTTTCTTTACTTTGCGTTGTAATCCATCCTGAAGGCTGTGATCCTGGATCGTCATCAGCAAGTGCTCCGAGTCCTCCCTCCCTTCCAGCAAGCAAAGCTGTGTCCTCTGCATATCGCAGATTTGCCACTGACGTAGGATCCCTGTGAGATCCTACCTGGCCAGCCACTCCGCCTATCATTTTTTTACCAACCCATTGATGGATTTTTGTTTATGCCCCCCCTTTAATTGTTCATTCGCTCTTCATCCACTCCCTCAACATGCCTGGGCCTTCAACACCGGTGGGCGATGGACTGAGAGGGTGCAACGCTGGCAGGGAGCCACTTGCTCCAACTCTCCACACCAATTAAGATTGCCACATAAAATGTGTAATTGGGTCTTTGGGACATCATCCCCAAAGCAACTCAAACTTTTAAGCTGGGCACCTCTTTTCTCCCTCTAAATTGCCTTGGGGGTGAGCAGTCCCTTGGGGCACAGGCAATTTGGAAAGGTGCTTACTCCACCTGGCCTGAGAGTCTCTGAGAGGCTGCCAGCCAGGCTGGGGCGAGGAGCTGGCCAGCTCTCAGGCCCTGGCGGCCCACACTCATCTATCTGGCACTCTGTCCAGTTTGAGCGCAGCAGCATTTCCAGATCTGATGATATCTGATACGCCTCAGAGTGAATTCTAAGCACACCATCTAATTCCACCAAATTCTAACGGCTCCACTACGTTCTCTCAAAATGTCTTAAGTTCACTTCATGAATTTTAGGACGGCTAGGCATGTTTTCCCTTTTTGAGCTTGAATTCTGTTTCCGTTTCTGTCTCCTGCCCACTGGGGTTTCCTATGTAGAGAAGGTTCAGACCTGCCTCCCCTGATCTCCAGTCAGAGAAGAAAATCTCTATCTCAAATCCTCTGAAACGCTCTCCACGCCGCGGGGGGATGGATCCAGGAGACTCTGATGGTGAGTGGGAAGTGGAGGGTGGGGACAGAGGAAGGTACCTGGCTGGGAGTCAGGCAGCAAAGGGATTCCCGGAGGCTTAGCCTTTTCTCTGTAACTCACTGTGTGGTGCTGGGCAAGCCCCTGCCTCTCTCTGAACCTCAGTTTTCCCATGACTAACCAGGGGTGGTCTAACTGCTGTCTATGAGTCCTCTTGGCTCTACCAAGGTGTTCTCTGGTGTGGAAAGCCCGTGTTTGGCTGCTGGCTGCTCACTCCCCGTTCACCTTGGCCCCAAGAGCTGGAGGAAGCAGAGAGAGAAGCTGGCCATGACCAGGTTGGGGTGGCGACTTGGCCTTCAGAACCCACTGGGAAAGAAGCAGAAGGTAGGGGCACCCCTTCAGACTGGCAGCACTAGGGTGTGGGCAAGGAATGAGGAGAGACATGAACATAATCTTCTAAGATATGAAATGACCACAGGGCGATAGGGGAGAAAGCTCACATGGCCAGCCAGGGCCCAGCAAGATAACTCCCTGGGAGGTGGCATTTGAACTTGTATTGAGGTAGGAACTGGCCGGAGAAGGTGGAGCTCTGGTGATGTCATGGGTTGCATGTTGGGATGCTAACTGCAAGGTCAGTACCAGGTGTGTGTGTGTGTGTGTGTGTGTGTGTG